CATCGATGGGAGAGAAACATCAATCAGCTGCCTCCTGCACACCTCCTGGGGATGTGCCCACAACCAAGGTACATGCCCTTGACCGGAATCGAACCTGGGACTTTTCAGTCTGCAGGCCGACGCTCTATCCACTGAGCCAAACCGGTTAGAGCTCGAGTACCACATTTACCTACACTGCTTTCTTGACCTGAAGTCTTTTTTTTAATTTGTTTTTTTGTTTGTTTGTTTGTTTTTTGGTGGGAGGATAGAAACATCAATGATGAGAGAGAATCATTGATCAGCTGCCTCCTGCATGCCCCCTACAGGGGATTGAGCCTGCAACCCGGGCATGTGCTCTGACAGGGAATCAAACCATGACCTCCTGGTTCATAGGTCAGTGAACCACTCTGGCCGGGCTTGATCGGAAGTCTTAGTGTCATTTTTCAAAATGGTTTACTTTCTCATCTCCCAGAGTATTTCCAATAATTTTGTTAAAGTTAAAATCCCAAACCTTGAGTGCTGTTTTTAGTTTACCTGTGGCTTAACTTCATGCCCAAGAAGTAACTGACTTTTGGCCAGAGATCAAGTGGCATGCATGACTGGAAAGTAGCATGTGACTGCCTGCTTTCGTGACACATTTTGCCAGAAAAGGGGACTTCCCCTCTACTAAGGAGGCATATACTAGTATTGACTGGGATGACCTTATAAAATTATTTATTTTTACTATAAATCCTCCCAGTAGAAGTAGTATTCTACCTACAAGCTGTCTCAGGGGTAAAAGTATAATTAGTTGCTTTTCTCTACTTTTGTTTTACTCTGTTCCTTCTAGTACAGCCATGGGCAAACTACGGCCCGTTTGAAATGAATAAAACTAAAAAAAAAAAAAAAAAAAAGACCGTACCCTTTTATGTAATGATGTTTACTTTGAATTTATATTAGTTCACACAAACACTCCATCCATGCTTTTGTTCCGGCCCTCCGGTCCAGTTTAAGAACCCATTGTGGCCCTCGAGTCAAAAAGTTTGCCCACCCCTGTTCTAGTAACTAGTTGGTCAGTAGAGGGGCAGGATGATATTGACTCCAGTTAGAGCAACTGGGAACCTGGGGCTTAGAGTCACAGATGTTGGTTTGAATCTTGCCACTTACTGGCTGTTACTTTGTTGTTGTTATTTCTTTCTCTTTTTTTGGCTGTTACTTTGAACTTCAGCATATTTATCTTTTGAAATAGGGTTAGTAACCCTAGCCAGTTTGGCTCGGTGGATAGAGCATCAGCCTGTAGACTGAAGGGTCCTTGGGTTCAATTCTGGTCAAGGGCACAAGCCCGAGTTGTGGGCTAGATCCCTAGTAGGGGGTATACCGCAGGAGGTAGCCAGCTGATCAATGATTCACTCTCAGGGAGGGGGGGGGGTGTAAGAGATGAACCGAAGGACTTGTATACATGCATACGAGCATAACCAATGGACACAAGACACTGGGGGGCATGGGAGGCTAGGGGAGGGTCAAGGGGAGAAAAAAAAGGAGACATATATGATACTCTTTGTAATACTTTAAGCAATAAAACAATAAAATAAAATAAAAATGATTCACTCTCATCATTGCTATTTCTCTCTCTTCCTCTCCCTTCCTCTCTGAAATCAATAAAAATATATTTTAACAAAATAAAACAAAAGTAGGGTTATTATGGGATACCAAGTGGAAATCATGAGATCTGGCACATAGTAGGTGATTAGTAAATGTTAACTTTCTCCATGGAAAATTATCTACCAGATTGTCATTATGTATTTATAAAACTAGCTGAAGCATGCTTCCTGCTAGCTCTAAGACAATCACCCACACATTCTGGAATAAGTCTCCACCAAGTCCATATTCCTTCATCTGGGCTAACATATAACAGGTAGAACAATAGAGTAAGTCTGAAATAAAGTTATGGACATTCCCTACTTTAATTAAAATCTTGGGGCACGGAAAGGGGATCCAAATAATGCAGTGCTGTGAACAAAAAGATCTGTGATCTTTGCCCTGTGATATGGAAAAAAAAGGTCCACTACCAACCTGGCCTACTTGATCTCTCATTGCTAAACAAGTTTTGCAGCTCCTCGTATAGTAGGCTGTGACATAATGATGGGAAATGAACATAAGAGGTAATGTTGAGGTGCAAGAGAAAGGGTTTGAGATTGCTCACCTCCTCTTACTAATTCTGTCTTTAGTATGCATGTTGCCCTTGAACTTCTGTTCCATGCATGACTCAGTCTCCCTTTTGGTTTTAAGGTCCTGTAACTCCTGCCTCAACATGCTGCTTTGTTTGCCATCCTAGCTGGGAAGGTGAACTGGTTTAGTGTCATTTCAGCAAGTCCAAGCCTGTTTTTCAGATGGTACCTATCAAAGTATAGTGGACAAATTGGGATTGTGGGACTAGATGCCAGAAAATAGAACCTAGAAAAATAGTGGCAGCTTTAAATGGATGGATGGATAGATAGATAGATAGATAGATAGATAGATAGATAGATAGATAGATGAAAGAAAGAAAGAAAGAAAGAGAGAGAGAGAGAGAGAGAGAGAGAGAGAGAGAGAGAGAGAGGAAGGAAGGAAGGAAGGAAGGAAGGAAGGAAGGAAGGAAGGAAGGAAGGAAGGAAGGAAGGAACTAAGGCAACAACAAAATAGTTCTAGCTTTTAGGAAGTTTTTAAAAATCCTTTTTTTTTTTTTTAGTTTAAACACCAAGGACACTTAAGTTAAACATTTGGCCCTGACAGGTTTGGCTCAGTGGATAGAGCGTCGGCCTGCGGACTGAAGGGTCCCAGGTTTGATTTCGGTCAAGGGCATGTGCCTTGGTTGCGGGCATATCCCCAGTGGGCGGTGTGCAGGAGGCAGCTGATCGGTGTTTCTCTCTCATCGATGTTTCTAACTCTCTATCTCTCTCCCTTCCTCTCTGTAAAAAATCAATAAAATATATTTTTAAAAAAACAAGCAAACAAAAAAAAACATTTGGCTGAAGCTCTTATGCCAGAGCAGTTGCTGACAAGATTGGGAGCAGAAACTGAGCTGAGTTGAGACACTGTGGCCTGTCCCTCATTTCACCCTGTCTCACCATAGTTCTCCTGGACTTGTATTTTGTTACTTCTTCTTATGCATCACTAAAGAGGCTAAGGATGGAGTTATCATTTTTCTTCCAGATTAAGCCAAGATCTCTGGTTAAAGAAGGATAGAATTTAAAACATGTAAGGCATCAGGATAAAAGATTCTTGAGTCTCTAGCAAGTTTAACTATTTCCTGTTGTCTTAGTCCCTTACAGCACAACACACAGTGACTTCTCTTGGTTATGTATCTTGCTCCTTCATGACATTGGGAACATGAGTGATATGGGCACTCATTCACCCTGGCTGCTCCCTTAAAAGTCAATATTGATTTGGAAATAGACTGAGAAATGTTATGCCCATGCCCTTAGTGAAGCATGTTAAATTCACAAAGAGCAAATGGCAAAATTCTGATAAAACCAGAAGACTGTCCTCATTTTCATTACATTTTCAGGGTGGAGAGAGACTAAAAGAAAGTTTCTAGTATATTCTGTTGAATCAAGTCCTGTAGTATAAATCAAGGTTCTTAATGATGTTTCAGACCTTAAAATAGGTGAAGAAATCCAGATGTGGGCACTTGAGGGGATGGCTCTCATTTCTCCTTTCCCTTTGGGTCACAGTTAGCAGTTTGCTCCCTGGTCTTTGACCATTACAAGGAGAAGGAGCTTTCTTCTCACATCGAATCTTCTCTGAGTTTTTCCAAACCAAGAAGAGGGCCACAGAAGGGTAGCATATTAGGAAGCACTTCCTTTCTCACTGTTTGGACAAAGAAGGCCTTTTGAAAATTCAGCTTGGCTCAGTGGATGGAGTGTCAATCCCAGACTGAAGGGTCCCGGGTTTGATTACAGTCAAGGGCACGTACTTTATTTGCAGGCTCCATCACTGGCCCTTGTCGGGACGTCGGGTGGGGTGGGGGCAGGAAGGGGGCAACCGATTGTAGTTTCTCTCGGTCTCTCCCCCTCCCTTCTACTCTCTTAAAAAAAAAAAAATCAATGGAAAAAATGTCCTTGGGTGAGGATTAACAAAAAAAGAAAGAAAATACAGGATCAGATGATATTGGGCTATTCATACCACCTCCGCATCTCAGTGCTTGTCTAAGGACCTGCTTCCTCCTCCCACAGGAGGAAAACCCTGAGCAGCCTGTTCAACTAGAAAATCGATGACTGATAGACTCTTAGTTGCTGGACTGGGCTTTGTAAACAAAATCTGCCTTTGGAAGAGAATGAGGAAGCCAGGGTATTTGAGTTAGCTCAGCTCGTAGAATTAAAATAATTGGCCTTAAATGAATACACTTGCTTTTTTTATTACTTTGGGTTTTTTGTTGTTGTTGTTGTTTTTATGTGAAGGGCTTTAACCAAGTGTTGTTGTAGGCAGCCTACAGTTGTTGAATACTATTTTGTTCACTGCTCTATTATCCTAAGCTAGTGGTTCTCAACCTTCCTAATACCGCAACCCTTTAATACAGTTCCTCATGTTGTGGTGACCCCCAATTTCATTGTTACAAATTGAACATAATTAAAGCATAGTGATTAATCACAAAACAATATGTAATTATATATGTGTTTTCCGATGGTCTTAGGCGACCCCTGTGAAAGGGTCATTCGACCCCCAAAGGGGTTGCGATCCACAGGTTGAGAACCGCTGTCTAAGCACTTTATAATTATGAACTGATTTAATTTTCAAAACATTATGAGGCAGATAATAGATGAAGAAACTGAGGCAGATTGGTAACTTGCCCAAGGACACATTGGAGCCAAGATTCAAATGTAGGCACTTTTTCTCCAAAGCCCATTCTTTAAGGACCACACAGTTTATAATTATTCTCATATGCAGTAGTTAATATCTACCCTTGAGTTACAGGAAGATGGAAAGCAGAGTCAGTGTTGCAGTTTTTCAGAGTATTATATCTTTGTCATCAGTTAGGGACTAACCTGCCTTTTCTTTTCTAGTGCTGAGGAATGTAAACAAGTTTGCTGGGCCTTGCGAGACTTCACCAGGTTGTTTCGATAGCTTACACTCCTGCACTGTGCCTGTCACCCAGGTGAGTAGTATATAGTTCCCAGGTTTTCTCTGGCTGTCAGGAGTGCTTGGGGTGGACATAGGTGTGTTTTTTCTTTTGTTTGTTTGTTTGTTTGTTTGTTTGTTTGAATCCTCTCCTGAGGATATGTTTTTATGGATTTGAGAGAGAGAGAAAGGGAGAGACAGACAGACATTGATGCGAGAAAAAAAACATAGATCAGCTGCCTCCTGCACACATCCTGACTGGAGATTGAACCCGCAACCTGGGTGTGTGCCCTGACCAGAAATCAAATCCACGACCCTTTAGTGTACGGGATGGCTCTCCAACCAACTGAGCCACCCTGGCCAGGGCTGGACAAACGTTTTATTGCCCATCTTTGGACTAATACTAGCTAGAGTCAGGGAAGACCTAACAATTCAACACTTCTGGGCAGCGGGGAAATGCAGGCTCCTGATTTCCTTGGGCCAGGGTAGCAGATAATTGTCAGTTACTTTGGATGCCATTTCACCCCCATAAGAAAGTGACTGTTGTAGAATATCTCAAAAAAATGTTCCTCCCCTCTTCTCCTCACAGACACTTCTAGGATTGTAAATGTGTATAGCTAACAAACAAATAAGTATTTTTAACCTGGCTACTTTGATGAAAACACTGCTGACCTAAACTTTACCATAATAAATGATATTACTCCTAAACCTGACCTTTCAGATTTAATGAGCAAAGTTGCTTGTTATCACTTTTGCAGTTTGAATACTGAAATGCCAGGTTTTGATTGAGTCAGGAGATCTGCCATCTCTGTCTTCCTCCTGATCATCAGTTTTCTCTTTGTGCTTCCTGAATCAAATCAAGAAGCTGAGCTGAGGAAAGAAACGACGGGGTAGTGGGATGTAGGTGCCAGTTTCTTGACTGAGAGAAGAAAGGCAACTCTCCTCTAAACCCATGCTTTGACGTCTTAAGCAGAATTTATTCTTCCAGGAGTCAGTCCTCCATGCCTGTACAGCACTCGCTGGGGGTTTGTGATTAAATGCATTAGTGGGTGAAGGTGCCATTCTACAATGCCTCACCACACCAGAAATCATTTTTATGCTTTGGTTCTTTAAGGAGTAGTGATATCACTTGCGATTCTTAGGTTTTGCAGTATCTATAAAAGCTAACATTGATACGCATTGCTTATACAGCTGTGAAAGTTCATAGCTAACATTCATGGAGCCCTTACTATGTATCAGGTACTATTCTAAGTGCTTTATATGTAGTGTTTTTTGTTCTTTTTTGTTGTTGTTGTTGTTGTTGTTGTTAATCCTCACCCAAGATACTTTTCCATTGAATTCTTAGAAAGAGTAGAAAGAGGGGGCGGGGGGGTGGTGCTGGACAGAGAGAGAGAAACATCGATGTGAGAGAAGCACATCGATTGGTTGCTTCCCATATGCACATCAACCAGGGCCTAGGGATCAAGCCTGCAACCAAGGTATGTGTCCTTGACCAGAATCAAACCCGGAACCCTTCAATCTAAGGGCCCACGCTCTATCCACTGAGCCAAACCGGCGAGGGCTATATGTATTAACTAAGATAATTCTCATAAGTTCCCTGGGTTAGTTACTGTTATTATTCCCATTTTACAAATGAGGAAATTGAAGTTGCAAGATGTCAGGTCAGTAATTGATAGGGCCACAATTCAAATATAGATATTTGGGTGCCAGAGTCCTCACTTTTAACCACTCTACTTAATATTTTACAGTAGTATCCTTTCTAGGGAGTCCAAATCATTGTTTTTTAAACTTATTTTAGCAGGCAAAGCCTTCTTTTAAAATAAAATCTTAGCCCGGCATCAACCCATGAACCAGGAGGTCACAGTTCGATTCCCAGTCAGGGCACATGCCTGGGTTGCAGGCTCGATCCTCAGTAGGGGGTGTGCAGGAGGCAGCCAATCAGTGATTCTCTCTCATCATTGATGTTTCTATCCCTCTCTCCCTCTCCCTTCCTCTCTCTGAAATCAGTAATATCAATCAATCCATCTTACATGAAACCCCAATATTTAATAGACTGAAGTGGAGATTTCTGATTGGTTTGGAGTTGGCATCCTGGACCTACTGGCTCACCTTTACCCTCTCTCCCGCCCCTCCCCTTCAACTTCCTTTTTTTTACTGAGTTCTTATGACAGGCCAGAATGAGGTACCTGAGCAAGTATAGAAACTTCTGCTTGACTTTATAAAATGCTCACTATCTCCTGGACCACAAGTATTGACTATCTTCTCTCTTTTATAGGAATGTCTTTTTTAATTAGAAGACAAGAAGAAAATAAAAACCAGACTGTGTCCCACAATCAGAAACCTCCATTGTGGCAGAGGGGCCTTTACCGCCACCAGGGCGTCCCACCAGACAGGGAGAGACTCCAGCCCTCTGAGGCCATCCTGAGGAGTTCCTGTTTGGGGATGTGAGGGAAAATCAGCACCGTTTCTAAAAAGATGGCTGCAACCTGTCCGGCGTGGTGGGAGGGGAGCTGGTTTCCTGGTGAACTTGTTTCTAAAAGGAAAAATAATTTTTAAGGAATAAAAAAGGAAAACTAAGCTGAAACCAGAACTGAAACATCCTCCTGGTAGCATATGACACGCACACATACATACACGTACCTACACACACATGCTACCACGCACATGCCACCACACGTGCATATACAGAAAAGTAAAGGTACAAACTTTCTGTGAAACAAAAACAGTTACTTGGGGAAAATGGGAATTCGAATGAACTATTTAGCTGCAATTGGAAGACAAGGGTCACGATCACCTCTTACGGTTTTTTATTGTTTTGTCCTCTTTTTCTCTCTCCCATCCCTTCTTTCTCATTTCCCCTTCTCTTTTAATGAAAGTGAGTAGAAATTTTTTCCATCCTCCCCAACTGTTGCTTACCACCTTTATAGAGTTGTTAGGACAGGGAGGAGTAAGCAAGGAGCCTTTTCTATTTTATATCATGGTCACATCAGTGATACTAGGACCTGCCAGGGCCAAATTCATGTATATCCCAACTCGCTAACTCCACTTCCAATCCGCATTGGGTTATCAGCCATGAAGAAAAGAGCCAAAATTGGGGTGAGTGAGATATAAGTGTATATTCTAAGTTTTAGGGTTTTTATTGTTGTTGTTGTTTTAGTTAATGTTTCACCCATAGACATGAGGAAACAAAAGAGGGTGGGAGTATGGAAAAAGTGTTTACAGGGCTAAACTGTATTTTACTAAAAATGTGGAACTTACTTGACTTCATGGGGATGAGGTAGGAGCAGGAAGCCCAAAGCAGATCTTAATGTTCTAAAGGAGTTGCAGCCCCACACAGGCATTACATACGAGGGCACTGTTCTGTCTGGTGTTGTAGCCATCTCAAGAACAAATCAGCAACAGAAAAAAAAGAAAAGAAAAATAAATTTTTAAAATTTAATTAGTGTTTGTTTTCACTTCCTTTCACTGCCTCATAGTTCTGAAATGGTACAGCTAGACCACTTACGTAAACCGTCTTAGTTGTTATCTGGTAGTCTGGGGATGGAGTTTAAAGGGCAGGCCCCTGTCTTCAGTGCCACAAACCCTTCATATTTCAGGAGAGTGACTCATCCTACATCTTCTAGTTCTGAAATCAGTAACAATCAACGATAGTGAACCTATTCACTCCCAAAAGTTTCCTCATGCCTCTTCTCCCACATGCCCAAGTAGCCACTGGTCCGCTTTCTGTCATTGTAGATTAGTTTGCCTTTTCTTGAGTTTTTTAAAAATGGGAGCATACAGTGTGTTACAGTAAATTGGGGTCTGAGCTAATGATCTTGACTGCAGAGCTGCATCTAGTATCTGAAATCAGTGAAACTGTCCAGCATAACATCAGCGGGACTCGGAGTTTACCCTCGAAAGAGGCATTGTTGGAAGGGGAGTGGAAAACTTGAATGTGAAACAGTGTTTGGAGTGAGATTATCAAATTCTGGAGATCAGCACAATACCCCAGCCAGTCTTCTCATTTTCTGGGTAAACAAAACTTTTGAAGCCTGGTCCAATCCTAGATCCTTGCAACAGCCAGTTGACTTCTGTTTAAGGAATTCAGCTTTTATGACAAGAAGTTGTGTCTGGGACTGAAGAAAACATATGGAAGTCTCAGTACAACTCTCCAGCCACTGAAAAATAGCATGTGGCATGCATATCCTAGTTAATGCAGAGAACATCCCCACAGGTAGAGCTTTGGAAACCAGAGCTCTCATCTCATTAACAGGGTCAAGGCCTCACTGTGTACTGTCTTACAGATTGTTTCAGAGTAGTTCTTACAAATAGTCATTACTTTTTGGTGTGGCAAGGATACCCACACAGATTTTAATTTCAAAAGGAACTGTTTGGGATCAGGTACCCAATGTAGACATTGTGTTCCTGTATGACATTGTCTAGTGGAAGAACTAGAGTCTTGCATCTGAACTTAAGTCAGAAAGTCCCCATATAATTGTTCCCTCATTTCCACAATTGGCTTAACCAAGATATTTTAGTCATGATTATGTGAAACATATCCATTGGGGCTATTCCCAGCAAGATTATACAAAGAAAATGACTTTAAATGTTTAAAAAATACATATTTGTATTGATTGCAGAGAGGAAGGGAGAGAGAGAGAAACATCGATGAGAATCATTGGTTGGCTGCACACCCCTTCCTGGGGACCGAGCCCACAACCTGGGCATGTGCCCTTGACCAGAATCGAACCTGGGACCCTTCAGTCTGCAGGCCGATACCCTCTCCACTGAGCCAAACCAGTCAGGGCAATAACGTAATTTTTATGTACCTGTTCTAGAAAGTTCAATACTGAGAGTGTAGGGTAAATAAGATAAAGGAACTTGAGTTTTTGAACAGCATCAACACCTCATAAATGCAACATACGTGTCCACCTTGTGTGGCCCTGGCTTAACTGAATCATTTTGCAAAAATGAAAGCCAAAATTCAGAGAAATTAAAAATCCAATATTATGAAACAGTATGCCTGATTTTTTTTAGATACATTATCAGCAAATGAGAAAGTTGTTTCCAAGAACAGTTCTCTGATTGGAAACTCCATCAATATCCTCTCCTGCTCTGAATACTGAAAAGTTCTTTATGTCAATGAAGAGCTGTATTAGAGGCAGGAGTCTTGAATTAAAAGGGACTATTTTGTTGGATACAAGGATGAACATTGTCAGGGAAACTACTGGGTGCTAGAGGAATGTGTTCATCCCCAAGGTCATGAACATCAGTGTACTGTGGATCCCAACTTAAACACTAGCAGAGGCCACTGGCACAGTCAGGCCACTACCAAGCAGAACCCCTAGCGTAGCTAGGAGCAGTGAAATCCAACAGCATCGTCCTGCCTTTAACCCCTGGAATGGGTAATGCCTGTCACTTCTTTTGGGTAGTGTTCATGCACAACTGGCTACTACATCACAGATCTATGTAAAATGATAGCCACGTGTGCTGTTTCTGGTTTTGCTTTTATTTTTTAAGAAGTCAAAACGTAAGTAGAGCCCAGGGGAGATTTTCAGCAGCCACGAGTTGCCTGCAGTATTGAAGTCCACCAGTGGTCGCCCTAGTGCAGATCTTCTAATCTCCCATAATTCATCTGTTCAGTCTCCCTGCTCCACCATTTACTAAGGGCTGCAAACAAAGGCCTTTGGGACAAGGCAGTGAAAAGTGAAGCAGGCTCAGAGAGGACCACTGAACTGTGGGACATTCCCATCTAAAGTTCCAGCTGATTCTTGCTGCTAGGGAATGTGAGATAGTGTTTCTAGAGAAGCTGGAAATCAGATATGTAACATCTAATTTTAAAGTGTTGACAACTAATTTCAATCTAAAGGGGAAATAGAGCTGCACAGGCCAGTGAGGAGAAAGGTGGCTGAAAAATAAGACTAGAGACAAAAAAGGAACTGTATGTAAGCACTGTTCTCTAGTTGGTAAAGTTTCTTTTCTTTTTTTTTAATTTATCTACATCAATGGTTTATTTGAAATAGTTTTAAAACTATGCAGAGTCTTTTCTTGCATCAAATGAGGACTCAAAAGGGGGGAGGGGAAAAAAGGCATCTGTCAGTTTGAAAGTCACAGTTTATCTTTCTATAATTAGTTTAGGAGAAAAATGAAGAACCCACTGATAGCAGGAAGAAGCAAGAGTCTTCTAGGTTCAGTCATTTGATGAGATAATCAGTTACTGTGCATTTCCATTGTTTTTCCATGGCAGAACATACCGCAGAGACTTGGGAACGCGCATGCCTGAAGCCAGGTTACTCTTATGTTCCATAACTATGTTGCTTGCAGGGCTGTTCTTGCCACAGTAGTTGGCTGTGCTCCAGACAAATAGGGTGCTGGTCTGTTCCCACAAATCTTTATCCCAGTCTTCATCACAAGGAGGGCACTGCCATGTGCTCTCAACCAGAGTCTCTTGTCCAAGGTTCCTGGTTTGGTTGACAATGTCTTGCTCTATACAACTTTTGTCATCACAGCTTGAAATATGATGACTGATTTCGGTCTGAGGAACCTGATGGCGAGCATTGAAGGGACAAGTAGCCAATTTGTTTGCGACATCAGGATGATTCTTTCTGCACTTGATAAGATGATAAGGAAACCTGCAGGCTCTGATCTGGAGGTTTTTATCATAGGGACATTGTAATAGCTTTTCAGGGTCCAGGGAATCGATGTAAGTTTCTTCCATGTTGGAAATGAAGGAGCCGAATCCAAGTGCTGAGTCAAGACGCGCTCTCCACACAGTTGCCTCCACTCCGCGCCCTAGCAACGCTCCCTTCCCTCTAGTTGGTAAAGTTTCTTAAAGAGCCTTGAGTTTAACGATTTTGAAACCTCTTTACATATGTGCAGTATGAAAAAGGGGCTGTGAGAAGTAGGGAGTCCCTGCTGCACACCAGTCCCCCAGCCCAGGGTTTCAGAGCTGGGAAGAGAAGTCCCCATAACTTTGGACTGTAAAAACCAGTAGGGGATGCCCTGGCTGGTTTGACTCAGTGGATAGAGCGTTGGCCTGCCAACTGAAGGGTCCTGGGTTCAATTCCAGTCAAGGGCACATGCCCAGGTTGCGGGCTCCATTCCCAGTAGGGAGCGTGCAGGAGGCAGCCAATCAATGATTCTCATCATTGATGTTTCTATCTATCCCTCTCCCTTCCTCTCTGAAATTAATAAAAATATATTTTTAAAAAACAGTGGGGATTGTGGCTGAGTGACACAGAGGATGCTGGAGTCCCAGGTGTTCCTCTTAAAGGGCCCCTGCACGCACTTACACAGTCTTGCCTCCTCTGAGCTCCAGTGCCAGGTGGTGGCTTTGGGGGAATCCAGGGATATATGGGGAGGAATGTGTTCATTGGGGACTGACTGGCATCAGGGCAGGAACTTGGGGGCAGCTTTCTCCCAGATAGGGGTGCTCACAGAGGTCATTGTTCATGTGCTGGGACCTCCCCCATTGCAGAGTTAACTGACAGCCATATCTGAGTTTCCATCAGCATGGCCCACACTGTTTACTCCGCCCTGGTGATTCCCTGAGACCCTGCCCCATCCAATTTGCAGCCCCACCCAAGCTGTTTATAGCTGTTTTTCCATATGAATGGCCTGTCCTGGCTCAGGCTTCAGACTGTTAAAATCTCTTAAACAAGCAGCAGCTGGAGTCAGCATGCCCCAAACCTATCAACAAAAGGCCCAAGACCCAGCACTAGCACCAGTCTGCCTTGCTTCACAGCTGGGCCTGGCCAGGGCACTTCCTAGCCCAATACAAGTAGCCATCTGCAGATCTCTGGTGGCCCCAGGCAGTGGCTGATTTTGCATCTCTTGGGAGGCCCCAGAGCCAGTGCACCCAGTGGACAGCTTCAGATTACAACTGATTATACCAGATTACAACTCTAAGTATCTACAATCGATATGCTCAAGGAGCAGACTCAGTGAGCACCAAAGCCCCACTGAAGCAAGTCCTGCTCCTGTGTCTCTTGCACAGCAGCTCTTCCATTGTAGACACAGCTGGTCCTCACAGCCAACTGGCCTGGAGTTCAATTCCTCCCAGTGGTGCCAACAGCAGTCAAGGCTCAACTGTAAGACTGTGCACACAGCCCACACAGGGGCACACCTAGAGTGCCCAGGTCAGGTGACTGGCGAGACTGAGTCACTGGGCCCTACAGGACCCCTAATACACAAGGCCATGCTACCAATTCCAGGAGACATAACAGCTCTATCTAATACATAGAAACAAACACAGGGAAGTAGCCAAAATGCAGAAACAAAGAAACATTACAAATGAAAGAAATGGAAGCAAGTAAACTACTATGACACAGAGTTCAAAACAATGGTTATAAGGTTACTCAAGGATCTTAATGAGAGCGTCAAGGGACTCGGTGAGATTTTCAAGGATCTTAGAATATCAAAGACATGAAAAAGGACCAGTTAGAAATTAAACATACACTAACTGAAATAAAGAATAATTTACAGCCGAAACCGGTTTGGCTCAGTGGATAGAGCGTCGGCCTGCGGACTCAAGGGTCCCGGGTTCGATTCCGGTCAAGGGCATGTACCTGGGTTGCGGGCACATCCCCAGTGGGGGATGTGCAGGAGGCAGCTGATCGATGTTTCTCTCTCATCGATGTTTCTAGCTCTCTATCTGTCTCCCTTCCTCTCTGTGAAAGGTCAATGAAATATATTTTTAAAAAAAAGAAAAAAAGAATAATTTACAGGGATTCAACAGTAGAGTAGTGTATTCTGAGAATCAAATCAATGATTTGGAATATGAGGAAGTAAAAAACACCCAATCAGAATAGCAAAAAGAAAAAGGAATCCAAAAATATGAAGATAGTATAAGGAGCCTTTGGGACAACTTCAAATGTACCAACATTCACATTATGGGGGTGCCAGAAGGAGAAGAGAGAGCAAGATATTGAAAACCTATTTGAAGGAATAATGACAAAAAACGTCCCCTACCTGGTGGAAGAAATAGACTTACAAGTCCAGGAAGCCCAGAGTCCCAAACAAGAGGAACCCAAAGAGACCCACACCAAGACACATCATAATTAAAATGCAAAACATTAAAGACAAATAGAGAATCTTAAAAGCAGTGAGAGAAAAGCAGTTAGTTACCTACAAGGGAGCACCCAGACGACTGTCAGCTGATTTCTCAACAGAAACTTTGCAGGCCAGAAGGGAGTGGCAAGAAATATTCAGTGATGAATAGTGAGGACCTACAACCAAGATCACTCTACCCAGCAAAGCTATCATTTAGAATTGAAGGTCAGGTAGAGCTTCACAGACAAGAAAAAGTTAAAGGAGTTCATCACCACCAAACCAGTATTACATGAAATGTTGAAAGATATTCTTTAAGAAGGTAAGAAAAAATAAAAATAAAAAGGGAAGAAGAAGAAATTATAAAAAATATGAACAATAAAATGGCAATAAATACATATCTATCAACAATTGAAAATAAAAATAAACGAACAAGAAATCTAATGATCAAAATAAACTAATAAATAACATAGGATCAGAAGCATGGAAACATGGAACAGACTGACGAATCTCAGAGGGAAGGAGATTGGGGGGTAGGAAGAGAATAACCGAAGATCTTGTATGCACATATGCATTACCTACAGACACAGACAATAGGGTGGTGAAGGCCCGAGGTGAGTCAGGAATCAGGTGGAAGAGGGCAATGAGGAAAAAAGGGGGACATCTGTAATGCTCTCAACAATAGAGATTTTAAAAAAGAGAGAGAGAAAAGTCTGCACAGGCCATGTAACCATATATAGATGCTCACCTCAGCCTTGCTCATAAGAAGTGGCACTGAGATACTATTTCTCACTTGTCAGGTTGGCAAAAATCCAAAAATGCAATATAGTCTGTTGGCGAGCCTGGGAAAATAGGCACACTGATAGATTGATCAGGATTTTGCCAATATCTGGCAAAATTATATCCATTTATGCTTTGGCCCAGAAATTCCATTTCTGGGGCTCCATCTGAAAGATACACTGGCAAAAATATGAAAAGATGTAAGTAAATACAAGCCTATTAACTGTAGCATGATGTATAATAACTAAAGATAGAAACAACTCAAATACCCACTAATAGAAAGTAAAAACAAAAATCTACATCTAGTTGAGCCTCTAGAATCCAGAATGTAGGCCAAAGTACCAATTTACAGGAAATATCAGTACAGGAGACAAAATATGTTAGCAACGCAACAGAGATGCAGTCAGCGGCATCTAGGCAAAAGCAAAATGCAGAACAAACACTGCAGTTTCTTCCACAAATTGCAAGGGAATAAAATCTTACATTTTAAACAACAGATAGTTGATAAAAAATTAATTTTTCCAGTTATATTTTTGTTTTAGAACATCCTTGTCTTTTAGAAATATATTCTATTTACACTCGAAATGTTATGTGTAGCAATTGCCTCAAAATAATCTCAGTGGCGGTGTGGATGGGAGTTTAGGGGAGAAGGACTATGAATTGATAATTGTTGAAGCTACTACATGAGGATTCCATACCGTTCTCCCTACTTTCACAGATGTTTAAAATCTTCCATAACAAAAAGATCAACAACAACAACAAAATTGTTCAGGCCAGAAAATTACATGTATGAGCCAGATTCACACCCTGAGCTACCAATTTGCATGCATTGTCCTAATATATTTAACTGTGTATGAATATACATGGGGAGGATGTAATGGTCCTACGTGTAGCTGAAATACCAGCCTTTTTTCACCATTTCTTATGGGAAAAATTGATTTGGACAGGATTTTAAATTCCGCACACATTTGAAAATCCACACCCCTGCCTTAGCCAGCTTCCGCCTGGAAAGCCGCCAGCTGGTGAGTGTTTATGGAGGCCCCACTGACTCATCCACCTGGAAGGCAGGCCCTCCCAGTGTCAGTGGCCCTGAGACAGAGGGCGGGGGGGGGGGGGGGGGGGGACAGCTGGCAGCAGAAAGGGGGTCTGTTAGAACAGCATGGAAGCAGTGGAACTGGAAAAAGTAAAGAATAGCCAAGTCTGTTTTTAATATTTATTAATCCAAAAATACATAAAATTCCACTTTCTACCCCAGGTTCTTGGACTCTCAAGAAAGGAGGTAGCTGCCAGCCTTAAGTATCTGGTATAATACCTAAGTGCTCATATCTGTCTCAGGAAGGAGAAAGATCAGGAAGCGAGGCTCAAACTAGGGAACCCCCAAATCAGGCCCAGGCCCTGCCGAGGCCCTGCCAGGGGGACCTGGCACAGAGCATGAGGCTTTCTGTCAGAGGGAATGGGGCACTCGGGGGCAATTTCCTCTGTACTGTGAGGCCCTGGGCGTTGGGGAGGTCCTTCCCTGCTCACTGGTGTTGATGGCTGAATTCCCCCAGAGCTAGCAGAGGAGAGGCGAGGAGAGGCGTGTCCAGAAGCAAAACTGGCTTCCGGCTTCCCTCAGCTTCTACCCAGAGAACCTGGAACTAGAACCTGGAACTCGGGCCTCTCTTCCCTCTCCTTCTTGGCCCAAATCCACTTCCAGGAGAGCCAGAGATAGGACCCTGCAGCCAGGCAGGTGCCCACTGGGGCTGTCACACCTCCATGTCAGTCCACATAGCCTCCCAGGAAGCCTGTTTCAGTCACTCTCTGCAGCCTCACTGCATGCCAACCGGGTGCATCGGCCAGGGCTCGTGGCCCGCAGGAGGGGCCTGGGCCACAGGCTGCAGCTGCTGCTGGGACTGCCAGATGTGATGGAGCTCCTTGAACTGCTCCACCATGTGGTCTTTGAGGTCTGGGTTGGAGATCTGTAGCCGGATGCTATCGGCCGACCAGGAAAGCTCCCCTGAGAACATCTCCAGCAACAACCTAGCTGCTATGGGCACCACCTGGGCAGCAAAGAGAACAGGGAGAACCCAATGGGGCTGTCAGACCTAGTTGTGCACGAGCACAACCACCAGGGGGCGGGTGGTGGACTGCAGCCACCGGGAAGGAGGGGCACCAAATTTTACTTCCAGCAGCCCTGGGCCTAGATTGCTTCTGGTTGCTGAGTTCACACAGCCCAGAGAGCCCTGAGCCCCCACTGTGGGGCAAGGGCTTGTCTCAGGACTCCCCGGTATTCAAGCCAGAGCAGAGCTGGGGGTTGGGAGAGGATGGTATACCTGTACAGTGATGAGCTTCTTCTCTCGGGGTTTGTGGTCCGGCCACTCCTCCCCAAAGCAGAAGAAGATCTCAAATGGTGGTGGGGTGTTGGTCTGACCCTTCTGGAACATGATGAGCTCTGCAGTAAGAACGAGACCCTCAGTCAGAGGCAAGAACCCTGCCCCTGGATGAGCGGAGGCCGGGAGGAACTGGATAGGGGGGCCTCACCATTGAGAAAATGCTCCAGGCTGAAGAGTTTGGTCCTGACCTCCCGCTGGATGGGGTTGGGGTGCGAGCCGTGGGCCGAGGCGCAGGGCCCACTCCAGAACACCTTGCACTGGCACAGGCGGATGGCATACAGGTCCTGGCCTTGCAGCTGGAGGATGAGCCCGCGGTCCAGGAAATCCAGCAGCTGGTTCGTGTAGAAGCGCTGCTTGTCGCTGGGGATGTCCTCGGGGCTGGGGAAGCGCACTTGCTCCAGGCTCACGGGGCCGAAGAGCTCCACCTGGTCCTGGGTGGCCTGCAGCTGGCTGTAGAAGAGCCGGCAGCCGTGTGGGTTGCTGATGGTGAGGGCGCGGGGCGGCCGCCCCCGGTACTGGAACTTGATCTCCAGGTCGGTAACTGTGGGCAGAGGGGCAGGACCACCCGCTGTGAGCCCTGCCCTCCCCACTCTGCAGCCGCTCACTGACTTCCTCTGCTCAGCTGCTAGTCCTCTTGTCATCTCTCCCACTCATTCCCCCACCCAAGGAGGGACTGGCATGGGCATCCTTTTCTTCACCATCCTCCAACCTCTTGGCAAAGCAACCCCCAGCACCGCTTTACCCGGCCCAGCCCACCAGTCCCTGGGTTCTTACGAGGCAGCATGTGGGGACTGATCAGCAGGTCGGGCAGGAGTTGTTCGCCTGCGGGCGGCAGGCTGGCAGCCAGGGGCCCGGGCGGCAGGCTGGGCGGGACCTCTGGGAGAAGGTCTCCAAAGGCAGCAGAGTCAGCAGGGGCAGGGCCCAGGTGGCTGGGGTCTGGAGCAGGGGGGCCCAGCACCACAGGTGGCTGGAGAGTGGGTGGCCACTTAGCATCTTCTTTGGGTAAAGGATAGGGTGCCACGGGGGCGCCAGGCTGCACTGCTTCTACAGAGGGAGGGGGGACAGAGCTCTGGGGCCAATTCTAGGAACTGCCTCCCAGGCCCACTCTTCCCAGCCTGGGCCTCCCCCCACCGCACCTTCAGCCCCCCCAGGTTCTCCTCATACTAGGCCCCCAACCACACCACCTCCCGGCCCCACCTGTGAGGCTCAGGCCTGGTAACATCCTCTGGAGCTGAAGTGAAGACACAGGCAAAGGAGGAGGGAAGAGGCCAGAGAGACAAGGGGGGACAGGTTATTACATTGATCTGATGCTGAAGAAATAACACATGAGAACCACAAGGCCTTTCCCCAGGCTTCGGCTTAGCGGAGGCCAGGCCCTGCCTCCAGTCCCAGTCCTGCTGCCCAGGGAGGCCAGTGAGTCCTCGCGCCTCCGTTTCCGCACCTGCCTTCTGAACAGGCGGAGTAGCTACCAAGCCCGGCCTGCTGTGAGGGTCAGTCAGCCAACAACGCCCAGGGCGGTAAGGTGGTGACTTTGTTTCTATGCTCAGGTCCCAGGGAGAAACTCAGAGTAGAGCTGCGGGAAGAGCAGGCTCCCAGAGGAATGGGCTGCTGGGCCGAGGAGCAGAGGAGAACCGAGAGCGCCCCCTCCAGGCTCTCCCCGGCAGGGCAGGCAGACCCTGGGAGAATGACCTGCTCACCTCTTCCTCTTCCTCATCCTCCTCCTCTCCTGCGCCACAAATGTAATCCTCAGTGGGCTGTGACTCTGCAGACGGGAGAGAAAAGAAAGACAGGAAGGGAGTCGGTGGGGGAGGAGAAGGAAGGCCCCGGGGCCTCATGTGGCAGCTCCTGCTGTGGCTTCTCCCCTGCCCAGAGCTGCCCAGTGAGGTGAAGAGCCGCCAAGCCTTCAGGAATCAGTAGGGGCCTCCCTGACCCCATGGCACTCAGCTCCTGGGCCACCGAGAGCCAAGAACAAGGGCTGGCTGAGGAGGCAGACTGCGGCCCAGGCCCGTGCCAAGCCATTCCTGGCCCCGCAAAAGGCCCATCCCAGGTGACTCCTGGAAGGCCTGGCTGTTAGGACCTAGCAGCACGTGCCTGACCACTGCAGCGTGGAAGGCCTGGGCTCTCGTGCACAGCCCTGGAGGCGGCCCGCACAGGGCCGGGCCCCTTACCTGCGGGAGTGGGGCCGTTGGAGCAGACCTCGTAGATCTTGTAGGGCTGAGGTGGCATGTCCCGGGGCCCGTCATAGATGAGGCGGAAGTCACGGCTCTTGTTAAGGGCACAGCGCAGGTTGGCCTTCCACTTGGCCGGGTCAGCCTCGTCCACCCCCTCCGTGTACTTCCCCGTCTCCTTGGCCCAGGCCTGCGGCAGGAAGAGAAGACAGGCACTGATAGAGAACCTCGGCCCTCACCAAAGCCTAGCCCCTCCTGGCTGATGGGAGTTGTGGTCTGCAAGGTGGGAGAGAGGACGCCGGGTCCTTTGAAAGGCGTTACATTCACTGCTCCTGGAGGGTGACAGGCACAGTCTCCAAGGAGGATGGTGTGACGTGCTGGATGAGAGCATGGGGTCTGGGTGTGGGTGTGGGTTGGGGTCCAGAAACTGCCACCCACCAGCTGTATGCCAGGGGCCTGTCATTTTGTCTTTCTTAGCTTTGGTCTCCCCACTGTAGTACCTACTTCACAGGGTGGCCCATAAAGCTCTCCGAACTAACTGTGTCTGTGCTTGGATAGGCTCTGTGCACTTGAATTGTGGGTATCATTATTCTGGAGGATTACAAATGTTTCTACCCTTTAATCCAACCATTGAGCTACTGGGAATTTATCCTACAGCCACACAAGCGTCCACACAAAATTCTGCACATTCAAGCTTATTCATTGCAACACTGTTTGTAAAAGCGAAAGACCCAAAATAACCTAAATGCCCGTCAATGGGGACTGGTTAAATTAACTATGGAAGACTGGGAAGCAAGGGGGCAAAGGACGAAGCTTTTGATTTACTGACATGTTGTGGTCTCCAAGAAATATGAGGTGCAGGAGAGTATGCATGTACCTCTCTCATTCTGCAAAAGTTGGGGGAAGGATAAGGACATATTTTTGTCCTTATGCACAAAAATCTCTCAAGGAGGACAAACAAGAAACTGATACTAACTGCCTCTCGGGAGGGCGTGGGTGGCTGGAGTCGGTGGGAGGGAGACCATTTCACACTATTCAAAATGGGAAATGGATTTGAAAAGAACCTTGAAAAGGTCTGGCCGGTGTGGCTTGTTGGTTGGATGTTATCCGTTGCATCCAAAGGTCTCATTCTGCTTCAGGGCACAGGCCCGGGTTGAGGGCTCGATCCTTGGTAGGGAGCATGCGGGAGGCAGCCGATCTTGATGTTTTCATCTCACATCGATGTTTCTCTCTCTCTCCCTCTCCCTTCATCTCTCTCTTTCTCTCTCTAAAAATCAATTTTTAAAAATCTTAAAAAATAAAAATGTTCCCAGGCCTTCCACCCAGAGTTGCTGATACACTTGGCCTGAGATTCAAAAAATAACCTTGAAAAGGTAAATATCAAGTGCAAGGACTAAAAAATATATATCCAGCTTTAAAAATAAACATTCTCTTTGACCCAGCAATTTTTAACTCTGGGAGCTAACCCCAAAGAAAATCATTTAAGATGTGCAAACGGGTAAGAGTTTAGAGCAGCGGTTCTCAACCGTGGCTGCACATTAGAATCACCTGGGAATCTTTTTAAAATCCTGATTTCTGGGCCTCGTCCTCCGGAAATTCTGTTTCTTTGTTACTAATGTTGTGGCCTCATCCCATAACAAAGAAACAGAATTTCCAGAGGATGAGGCCCAGAAATCAGGATTTTAAAAAGATTCCCAGGTGATTCTAATGTGCAGCCAAGGTTTGAGAACCACTGGTTTATAGGATGTGCCTGGCAATGTGGTCTTCGACACTGAAACACTAAAAGCAATCCAAAGTGTCCAAAAACTGGGACTGGGTGGCTAACCCGTGCTAGACCCCTCCAATGGAACCTGCAGCAGTCACTGGTGTTGAGTGAAAAAATGCAGGTTACAAAACAATATGTAGTTTGATTCTACATTTGCATTTCATAGATGCATTTGTGCAGAAAACAAAATGCAAGCAAAACATAGTCACAGTAGTCACCTCAAGGTGTTAAAAATCACACTGCTGCCTGCTGTCTTCGGGTGTGTGTACACCAGACAAGCACACTGCGTGTGTGCGCATGTGTAATGAGAATGAGACGAGAACAAAGGGGAGGAGGAGGAGGAAGGCCTTCTGCGGGCCCATCAGTCCCCACCTTGCATTGGGGATCAGGTTAGAAAAGCTGTACCCTGTGGTTATGCCTGTGTCCCCTGAGTCTGGGCCCGGGGTCACCTGCAGCAAGACAACTGGATGAGTGGCCAGTTTGAGTTGGAATGGGGGGTCCTCTTCTGGGGGAGGGGGCTTCCTCAGAGGCCCAGGCAGTCCCCTGTCCAGGGCTTACCTTGAAGATGGTGTTATCTCCTTCCTGGCTGGGGCCGTGCCTAGTGGCATGGCGCCAGGGGATGGAGAAGAATTTCCTTTCGCCATTGACCCATTGGAGCCCTGGGTACTGGCAACTGTTCACCTGGGCCACCAGCCAGGGCTTCAGCCGCACACGGCGGGGCGGCGGGGCGGCCCCCAGGGCAGGCTGGTTCATGGCAAAGGGGTCTGCAGGAGAAAGACAGAGGGGTCAGCAGATTTGCCGCTGGCTACTCCTTTGGCAGAGGGGGGGGGGCACTCCAGGGGCCCAGCCACGGCGTTAGGACTTTCCCTTCCTCCCAGCACTGGGGGCTGGAGTCTCTCCAGTACATCCAGCTGCTCAAAGCCAGTTCCCTTTCCAACCATCAGCTTTCTCGTCACAGGGCCCCTGCACCTGCGCTGTGTTTGGGGAGAAGGGAAGGCGGGGGGTGACGCTGTAGTGGATGTCCCACCCAGACGCCCTCTACCAGATAGGGCATCGCTTCCCCAGCTGTCAGGAGGCTGGCACAGCAGGAGGCTCAGAGCTGCCCATCTCGGAACCTGCCCTCCTTGGCTCACTCCAGGCTGGCCCGCTCCTCCCCTCAGGAGACAGCTGTGGCCAGTGAGTGACGGACACACAGGGACAAAAGGCTTCAGGTGGAGCAAGTGGGTGCTCCTGTGTGCGCACCCCAGGGCCCAGGGGCAGGCTGCAGCCAGCCTCCAGCTGATTCCACATCCCTGCGTAGCATTCTCCGTGCCCCGCCCTGCCCCCTCCCTCCCCTCCTCCTCACTAAACTGCCTTCTAGGAAACCTGGCCCAAGAACAAGGTAGACCTGAGAACGGAGGGATGACTTCCACACCCAGTCCTCAGAGCTTCCTTTCTCCCTCAGTTTCCCTCTGGGATCAAGCTTCCCCCACCTGGACTTCTTGAGCGAAGTCCCATCAGCACACTCAGTCTCCCTCCTGCATCACCAGACTTAGGTCCCATCCTTGTAAAGCCATCAACTTCCTAGACTGAGGCCTCCCCTCTGAGCCACGCATTCTTCCAGCAATTGGTGAGCACTGAACGCCTGCCAGACCCATGCTGCCCAGAGCCGTGGGGACTACACAGGTGAGGTCTAACGGCTGCCCACTGGGAGCCAGTGCCACCTCCCCAGGCCAGTCTCTGCCTCCCACCCCCTCTGATATAAGAGAGTGAGACCAGACCCCAGTGGAAGGCTGCGGGACTCGGGGGGGGGGGGGCGTCTGGGGGGCTCTGACAGAGGCAAGGGTCCAAGGCGGCCAATCAGGGAAGGAATTGCTGAAGGAAATGGGTTATCGGGGCTGGTGCAGCGAACACTGTGGGTGGGGATGAGAGCTATCCTTAATATCTGAGGTAACACCATGCACAAAGGGACTAGGGTTTGAGTCAACACCAGGACAGCCTCAGGTTGGAGAATTTTCCAACAGCTAAAGCCATCCAACCGAGGCCGGGCTGCTGCCTGGGGGTACTCAAGCCGGGTAGGCTTCCTGGCCTGCCCGGGTGGGTGGGAGGCTGGCTCCTCTCTGTTGTTCCACGTCTGCTTTGGCCTTGAGCACTGAGCCTAAGTTTCCCCTGAAATTCCCTGCCTCGTACCTTTTGGGTTGTAGCTGTGAAGTGCCACCTCTTGCTAAGAGGTCTCCATCTGCAGGCTGCTCCTCAGAGCAGGGCCCAGCTCCAGGCTGGGCCGGGGAGGGTGGGAGAGCTTCCAGCCCTGCCCCCAGGCCTCCGAAGACGGGTGGCTCAGTTCCCCTTTCTGTACCAGCCTCCACCCAGCACCAGGGGAAATGAAAGTGGCCAGACCGGACAACTCAGAAACCTGACTCACTGGGAGCTGGGGGAGGAAAGGATGTGGAGAGAGATTCTCAGGGGGTCCCCCAGACCAAATTCTCAGTCTCTTACCCCATAGCCCACCCCCAGCCCCCAACCTCCAACCCCCAGGTCTGCTGGTGGTCATTGTACATTTTGTGTGGTTCACAGCATTGGGTCACCTCCCCCCAAGGTCTTGGTCCTAAGGTAGAGGAGCAACTGTCATAGGTGGCAGGCAATTCCGATTAAGTGAGGTGGACAGAGGAGAGCTCTGTTCCCTGAAGACACCCACATCTGGTGGCCCTCAACTGTGCCGGGGGGGGGGGGGTGCAGCTGGGAGAGCAGAAAGGGTAGGAGGAAGTCGGGGTGCGTCTCACTCCTGGCCCTGCCCAGCACTGCTGTTCAATGCAAAGGTTTGGGAATGATCTCTGGCCTCATGTCAGAGAGGCACAGGCAGGGGCTGTGCAAAGGGGCTCCCACAAGAAGCAGCAGAACCAAGGAAGGGTCTGTGCAGCCTCCACCGGAGGGTCAGCCAGGTCAGCCAGGTGCGCCAGGACCAAGCTCAGGGTCAGCTTCCCAAGGACGCTTCCTCCTGCTGCCGGAGGCTCGCTTCGGCCTCATTCTGACCATCCTAACGCCAGGAGTTCTGAATTTCAATCTTTGTGCTTCATTCCCCCCCCCCCATAGACACAGTTGCCCACATTTCCCAGGGAACCCCAGAAGCTACAGGGCAGCCCTCAGAAGGTCCACCCAGTGCTGGGGGAGGACTTGACCTTCCCTCCGAGGGCAGCGCTGGCCAGGCTCCTGCCTGCAAAGTGGGAAAGGATGGCAATGCCTGCATCTGCTTCTGTGGAAACGCCAAAGAGGTGTGGGCTGCTCAGGACCCAAGGGAGCCCCCATGAGTGAAGCATCTAGCTGGGCAGCCGGAGCCCCTCTGTGGTGGAGGAGGCCCCACAACTCACACCAGGGCCCTGAAGTCCCAGGAGCCACCCCGTGAGGCGCCTGGAACACCGTGGGCACCAGGGACCCCAGGGAAGAAGGCACCTCAGCCCCAGACAGTGGGCAGAGCAGCAAACCCCCTGCCGCCTCCCGAGTGCGATGCACATTTGTGTCCGCAAACCCCACATCAAGCTCAGAGGGAAGCGGGAGTGGGGTGGTCCCTGAACCAGCGAGACCCTAAAGCCCGGCCCTCCGGGTGGGTTGACCACACCAGGAGACAAGTGGGAGGGGGAGGGGAGGGGCTGGGGGCAGCAGACGCGGGCCTCCCAGCAGCTCGGTGGGGCAAGGCCGAGGCGCAGGGGGAAACCCCTAGGTGGGGCCTTAGATAAGAAAGGGTGTTTTCCGTTTTCCCAGAGCCTCCCCGGACTTGTGGGGGGCCCTAGCGCCCCGGGCCGATAGTTCTGGGGGAGGCTGGGGACTGTGCCTCTGGCCCGCCTGCCCCTCGCAAAGGACCGTAGCTTCCTCTGTCGGCCCGCAGCGTCCCTGCTGCTCCTGGCCAGGTCCCCTCGGGGCCGCGGGAGGCCGGCCAGACCCTGCGCGTGGGGCTGCGCGGCTGGGGCGGCCCCGGCGGATTGCCCGGGGCTGCCTCGGGGCAGCTGGCTCTCGGTCGGTCTCCGCCGCTGCTCCGGCGGGTGCGGAGGAGGCTAGGAAAGTCCCCGCACCCCCGCCCGGCTCCGGGGTCCCGGAAACCCCCGCGCGGGGGCCGGCGCACTGGCCTCTTTCCTCCACTTTGAGCCTCCTGATTGCTCGGTTTGAAGTTCGAGGGAAGGACGCAAAGACACGAGCCCAAGAAGTATTGCGCCCGCGGTTCTCAGCCGGGAGGGTCAGCGCCCCCTTTTCTGAGCCGCGAGTCCAAGGACGGCGCCCCCACCCGACACCATCTTCCCACGCTCTCCGCCCGAATGCCTGCCATTGCTCCCAAGATCCTGGGAACATAAGCCCTCGACACCCCATCCTCTTACCCGGAAGGGGAGAGAGCACAGACACGGGGAGTCGGGGCTCGCCCCAACAGGGTCAAGGCCAGACGCCTGCCGGGCGCCTGGGGCTCCCCGTCCGTCCCTGGTGAAGCGGATCGGAGGGGGAGACCCGCAGAGCTGGCGCCTCCCGCAGCGGTGCCGGCCCCGCCTCCCGGCCGCCGGGCTCCCCACTCTGCCGCCGGGCTCCCCGGGCGCCTGCGGGGCGAAAGGCTGCCAGTGCGGGGCACCCCGTGCCGATCGGGGCGAGGGAGGCACCGTGAGGCCGCCAGACTCGCGGGGCGCGCCCTGCACTAGGCGCCCACCGAGGCTCGAGCGCGCA